CTCCCTCTCCCCCGCTCTCTTTTTTTTTTTTTTTGGTAACTATCCATTATAAGAATTGACTCATAAGAGTCATTTGTAACAATTCATTAAAGAAACCGACTCAAGAGTCATTTGTAACTATTCATTAAAAGAACCAAATCATCAGACTCAGTTGTTCATGAATCAGACTACACTGTTCATGCTGTATGGTTTTAATTCACTAAAAAAAAAAAAACAATCATGAGAGTCATGTGGTCATAAATTGCATTGTATACTTTTTTTTTCATGCAGCTCTTGAGGTCAGCTCAATAGCAAGACATTTCTTGCTATTATTTCACAACAGTCTTAATTTTGTAAGTGTGAATAAGTTATGTTGTAAATTATGCAATCTTTTACCGTGCCATAGAAAACCACTGGCATTCACTGTATGGGGCACATCATTTAACTTGTGAAATTCATTCCATTATTTCAAATTATTTTCCTGTGAATAGTTTAGAATGCATCATGAAATATAAAAGTGGCATATGTGAATTATAAATTGTTCAAATATGCAGCAAAAAAGCACGATTATTATAAGAATGACAGCCAAAACACATACAACAAATTAGTCCATAAGTGCCTCTTTTTTTAAGTGGTGAACAAGCAAATCAAGTGAATTGATGAGGCTTTTGTTTTGGTGGAGGGGAGTTTTAATGAGCTGAATCACAGGTCTGAATGCAATCAACCGTCAACGTCACAAAACACCTCCCTCTTGTTCCACCCAAGCACACAAATCAGGGCTTCTCTTTTTCTCTGTGAGAAATGTGTTTGTGTGCGAGAGATGCGTGTTGGATGGAAAATGAGACTGGATGCTAGATTGAAATGTAGGACTGTAAGTGCAATTGTGTTTTGATGCCCCTCTGTGAAATGGGCCCTCAACAGAATGCAATTTGGATTTAACTTTTGTTTAAGGGATAAACACACAGCTGTATTTTCCATTTGTTTCATAGTCTCTTGTTCTTGTTTTCTCTCTTTTGTTTTTCTCTCTCCCAGAACGATGGTGTCACAGAGAACAACGGGGAACAATCTCTGGAGCGTAGCAATGCCCTGCCAGACATCTCTCTGGTAAGCCCTTCAGTTTGAGGAGGAACAGGAAAGATAAAAGAGGGGGAACAGAGAGAAAAAGAGGGAGTGTTGGAATCTGCTGAGGTGTGTGGAATAGAGAACTGACATTGAACACCTTGAAAATGACCAGGGGCAGATTATGACCAGTTTTGATGATGGCTTTTGAATGAAACCCGGTTATTAAAACTCTCAACATAGGGGTGGGCGGTATGACCAAAATGTTATGTCACAGGAAACGTAATTTTGTATCAAAATAACAACATATTTTATATATAGTTTTTAAATTGAATCTAGCAAATGCCATGTGAAAACAACTATTTATTTTAATTCATTTTCTATATGTTATAAAATGTATAAATAAAAATGTTTCGAGTGTTAATTTATTTTTATTTCAGTTTTAGTATTAGTTTTCAATCATTTTAGTACTTATAAGTACAGCTTTTTTCAATTTGTAATATTTGATAGTTTTAGTTTTTCACACAATATTTAATTTTATTTTATTTCAGCTTTTTTTTTTATTGACAAAAATGATAACACTGATTCATAATAGATGAATGATAAATCTGGCCTCAGTACAAAACCAGATTATGAACAGATATGTGATTTCAAAACGGAAGACTTTCAAAACTAACATTATAAAAAATACTCTATATTCTGACTTGAAATTCTGATTGTACATTGAAAAACAAACTGATGTTGCTAAACTGTGCTTCATATGCCCCAGAATGATTAATCCTTCAGTCATAATCTTTATTTACTCCATGTTTCTTGTTGCTGTCATGTGAAGATAACGTATGCAAAGTAGTCCTGCACAATTGATGAGAATATATCTACAGTACCACAGTATAGCAAAGTCTCTACTGTTGACATATTTTATACTGTCATGCCGCCCAGCTCTATCTCAAACGGCTGTAAAGGCTCGGCTACTCAGACAGCTGATGGTTGTTTGACGGAAAGAGAGAAATAGATGAGATGATGACACTGTCGCTGAAGGCTGCCCGTTGTGAGAGAGATGGCCGAGGAAGATTGGGGTCTTTCTCAGAGAGTTTCCTGTTGGTATTCTGATGAAATCCTATCGAGCACCAGAACAGCTCTATCAGGCGCTTCCACAAGTGCAAGTCTGGAGCATGTGAAAGTAAAGTTTCCAGAGAGCGTTCAGGCCCAGATAAAAAAAAAAAAAAACATGCAGACGACTCACATTTCGGTTTGATTGCTTTCTAATGGCACTGACACCTCATTCATCTGGCTTGTGCACACTCCGTTCAGCCTTAGTTTGTTCATTTCCTGTTTTTTTTTTTGTTTAGTTTTTTTGCTTTGCCACTTGGTCTGAATGAACCGATTGTTCTTGTCCTCAAAGCAATGATTTGTGGGTAATTGTCGAATGTTTTAATGTATGGGTGTATATGGTGTATGTGAATATTACATTATGAGCTGCGAAGATTGTGTTATTGATTGCGGAATGTTTTATTGATCTCCTTTGAAATATCACCTGAAATATGGCATCACTAACGCTCTCCTCTTTCATCCTAGGATGAGGTTCATTCCACCTCAGATTCCCCTCCTACCTTTAAACCTCCTCCTCCCCCAGGGCTTCAGCGCCGACCCAGTCGAAAAGCCACGCTTAGCAAACGTCCCTCTTCTAGCTCCTCCCAGTCGGGCTTGTACTTCACCGCCCCTTCTCGTTCCCAGAGCAAAGAACCCAAACACCCAAAAGCACCCAAACCTCACACATCTCCTCTTGACACCTTCAAGATAGATGTCCCAGCACCTCAACTCGCAGTTGTGAGCCAGCATACTATCGGACCGTTCCCCCGGGTCCAGTCTCCTAGTAAGGTGAAGCCTGCTGTCCAATCCTCATCTCCGATTCCTCCCCCCGCCCCTAATGTACCTGCGCCACCTGGGCCGCCGCCTCCTCCTCCACCCCCCTGCCCAGATAAGCCCGCCCCTTCTTCCCCAGCATCCAATCAGCACTTTGTCATGGTGGAGGTGCACAGGCCCAACGCAGAGCCTGATGTGAACGAGGTGCGGCCGCTGCCACAAGCGCGAGGTGAGACTGAAATATTTGATGCATTGTGGGCAGCTGCGGATATTTAATATATCATTAACCAGCTGTCAATTTCTATCCTTTCTGGTTATTTTCACCCATTTAATGGCTAAAAAGTCATTATCCTCAATGTTCAAAAGGAAAAATGATCATTTTAAAATAATTAGTTCAGCCAGATATTAAAATTCAAGCATTCAATCAGTTTCTTTTTGTGTTGCATGGATAAAATAACCACACGAGATTTGAATTATTTATGACTTAAATTATGGTTTAACAAATTAAATGAATTATGATTAATTGGGAACTACTTTGGAAAGTAATACAAAGTAATCTACAATTGCGGTCATACATTTACATATACCTTGTAGAATCTGTCAAATGTAATAATTTTAACAAAATAATATAATAAAAACAATAAATAATAATAAAAATAATAAAAGGTACTTGTTTTTAGTGCTGTCCTGAAGTATCTATTTTATACCTGGTTCTTAAAAACAAGCAATTTTTATGGTTTTTAAAATTATTAACATTCTGCAGATTCTGCAAGGACTATGTAAATGTATGACTATCAACTGTTTACATGCAGTTCAATATCAGTATGACTAAAGCAATAATTTGTCTTTTTGTCATTTAAAGCATTTTAGTCCAATTGAAATCATATAAATACTGGAATGCACTAAATGACTTTTAAAATCTGGTCAATGGTTGCATAAGTCGCATGACAATAAAAATATTATTACTGAGTACGAAATAGCATACTGTATAGTAGGTACTACATTTGGTTTGAAACTTTATTTGTGACCATTAAGGATGTTCTATGTGTTCTATATAGTATATATAAAAGGTGACTAGTATGAATGTTAGTTTGAATGAAATTCGGAAATACTGCATCCGCCATGTTGTCACTGTCATGGGACCTACGGTGTCAAGTGGGTTGCTTCACTGCCATTCACGAATCCACTCCCATGGCCTCATGGGATACTAAAGTGTCCATCAAATGCACACTTCAGAATCTTGCAAGAAGTAGGAGGTCATCAGGGTGCTTTTCACCTACTGTTATGAATACTATGAATTTGGACATACTCGGCTCACATAATGTTTTTCGCCTACTATATAATATGGAAGTAGGCATATTCAGATGCAGGGTATGTGTTCCTATATCAGCTCAAAATATCAAAAATGTTTGATATCCTCCGATGGGATGGAATCATAGCCTGAAGCTAAAAAAAATCGTCAAGCATGTGTAAGTTAATCGGCCCTTGGCACTGTGCACATGCTCAAACACATAACGTGTATTTAATCCTTTAAATATTCCATTACGTGTCAAGTATTTTGGGAAAAACAGATGGAGACTGTAGCTGGACTACACAAAAACCACTCGATTATAACTGTATATAAATGTACTTAATGTTCTTGTAGGAGGGACATTATCCCAGCTGTCAGACAGCGGACAGACCCTCAGCGAGGACAGCGGTGTGGACATTGCCGAATCTGGACGTCTCAGTAAGGAAAGCAGCCCACGTCCCGGCCGCACCAGAACCCCACGGGATGGGCACGGAGGAGGAGAAACATCTGCCAAACCGGTGAGACCGAGAGAGAGAGAGAGATGGATGTGTGAGAGTTAATGACAGTGACAGAGGGTTGGTGTTAAAAGTGTGAATGAGAGTGAAAGAGTGATGACAGAAGAGTGCAGCCGCATAAATCTGTTTCCTCCCTCTGACTGAGCGTGCTTGACTTTTAACAATTAATTTTCACTTTTCTTCTTTTGGTGCATACATTTCCTTTAGTTTTTCTGTTCTTTCTTTGTTGACTCGTCCACTTCATCTCATCTCATATCACTGATCCAACAGCTCTCTGAAAAACCAATCTCAGTGTGCTGAATCAAGACGCGTCCGTCTTCCTTCTGGCCGTCCTTTAGCTATTTGCTTCCCGGCTTTCTTATACGCATGAGCTGTGTTGTTGATCTCGCAGAGTGAACTAATAGTGCTATCTGAGGACACTGTGGTTGGGTGTAAGCCACTTCCCGTGGCCCTATTTTAGGCCGTCAGACACAAAGCAATGTGTATCATCAAAGCCAAATGTGTCTTTGCTTCCTATCTCTGTTCCCTTTCATTCTCTCTCCCTCTCTTTGATTTGCTACTCTCTTGTCTCTCTTTTTTCTTCTCTCCTCCTCTTCCCATTTTTCCATCCTGTCTCTAATCTGTCTGTGAATCTACCTTGCAGCCGGGTCTGTTGGAGCCTACATCCACTCTAGTGAGAGTGGCAAAAAGCGCCAGTACTCTGGGCATCGCAATAGAAGGTGGGGCAAACACACGTCAGCCCCTCCCACGCATCGTTACCATACAGGTGAGTAGCCCATACAGAGTTATTTTATATAAAATAATAAATATAAAGTAAAATAATATTAAATATTTATATTTTTTATAATATATTATAATAGTTAAAGCATGTCAACATATTCTGTTACACCAAATACACAAAATAATGATCTTTAAAAAAGCATCATATGACCCCTTTAATAAAAATATATATTAAAAATATATACAGTACATACACAAATATAAAATACGTGTTTTTATGTTAAAAAAAAATACTGATCAAAATACAGTAAAAGCACTAATATTATAAAAATATTGCAATTTAAAATAACTTTTCTGTTTTAAAATATTTTAAAACATAATTTATACTTATGATGGCAAAGCTGAATTTTCAACAGCCATTACTTCAGTCTTCAGTGTCACGTGATCCTTTAGAAATTATTCTAAAATGCTGATTTGTTGCTCAGAAAACATTTCTTATTATTATCAACATTGAAAACTGTTCTTTTAATATTTTTGTGGAAACTGTGATATGTTACTGATGGTATTAAAGAAAGTCACTTTTTGTCTTCATTTATTCCAATTTATTTGCCTTCATTTATTCTATTTAATTTATTCCATGAGCAAAAGTGTCCAATAGTATGGAGGGTTACTAAGATAAAGTAAGTAACATTTTACTGGTCATGTGATCTCAACATGGCAGCTCCCATGAGGCGATATTTTAAAATATTTTTATTAGGCTACTATATGTGAATAACTATGATTTTTAACATATTTTATATTAATTTCTATTTTATATTTTATATGATATAAATTACTGAATAACCTTTTAAGTATTATATTTAATGAATCTCACACTGTTTGTGCTACAGATATGAATGACACCACAAATCGTGAAGCTTGAGGAGAGGAGTTGTATTACTGTTCTATTATTTGATTGTCACCTGGAAGATGGTAAAACGGGAGCAACGGTAGTCATATCTAGCAGCGAGAATGTCATGGAGACTTGTATAGGGGGCTCTTTTGAGTTGGTTTAGTAAGCAACCTCCTAGAAAACCCTAGCATCCGCATAGCAACTTTTAAATTCCACTTTGCAACAGGATAGCAGCACCTTGACCAACATCCTAGCAACATAGCGTGATTTTTGTACAGGCAAGTGCCACACATTTTCTCCCGTTGTAGTTCATCTAACAATACTGAACCTGAGTATGAAGTAATACTGTGGTACTATTGGGCAGCTGCCAGGTTTTACAGCTGATTATACAATTTCAAAACCCTCTGTCAGGTCTAAAGCCAATGCAGAGCCCAAGACAATGACAGACACAAAATGAGTCCCAATCATGGGCTCTCTGCCGTCAGTCATATGTAGGTCTATAAGAGAGCCGACAGCCTTGCTGAATTAAATAATGAGCACAGGAGCATGTTATAGACCTCCAGTTGTAGTCAGCGGTAGCGCAGGAAGCAGCTGTTGATGTTTGATGCCATTGTGGCAGTGGATTATTCCTGATTCTGTCTTTTCTAGTACTTAAAATCTCAAGCACACTGTTGAACAGGCTTGTGGGAATGCTGGTGGTTAGGTGTGCAATTTGTAGAGCGCGTTTATATGTGAAAGGCTCTCTGCGTTTCTACGTCCGACCGCGCTGGAGAGGAAATTATGTGCATTTTAAGGCGGGAACTGCTTCGGCTGTGAAAGACGAATCTGAAATTACAGTGCCACTGATTACAGTTGATTTAGCAGCAAATCAGCACCATCTTAATAAAAGCTTGAGAGACAAAAAAAGAGCAGACGCTGGAGAACAGGAGAGACTGAGCAAAAATAAGAATGTAAGAGACAGTGAAAGTAAGCTAGAAGAAAGGAAGTAAATGTAGATTGAGAGATGTAGAAAGTGCATCTGGGGAGGAGAGAAATGGACAGGCTTGAGTGGGTTTTAATTCCCCGGCTGCAGTCGGTTCATCAGTGTCATAATGAAAATGCAACAACAAAAGCACCTGTAGATTAGATAATGTGGAGCTCTTTTGTTTCGATCATTTTGAGGCAGTGAATGAAAGAAGACTGAAAGAAGACCGTGCTGATGAGACCTAAGTGAGTGACTCTTGCATTTTAACCTCCATTAGTTTACTACTTCCTGTTGCGTAAGTGCTGTCATGCTCTGAAGCAGGCTGATTTATGATCAATAGTTTCAGGCCAAGGATTAAAGGGGTTAAATTGGGATTTTGGAAGCTGAGGGACCCTAAAATCTGTTGCTCTAAATCATCTCCTCCCAAAAAAAAAAACAGTAAAAGATAAATGATCATCAAACAATTTTATGATGTGGACTGTCTGATGAATATTGCACACAAAAATGGCAAGAGCTTTCTAAAATTGTAATCTGTAATCTGATTGGTTGGGTGTACGTAACTTCCAGGTGAGGTTCTTATAGCTTTGCAATTTTTATTTTATTTTATCCTGAGAAACAAAGGTGGTTAAAACATACCAGCAGTTTGTTTTCAGTTCAGAATTGTCTGTATGTACAGAAATTCTGACTGCAAAGACAGCACACATTTCTTTGGTGAAATCAAGTGTTTACAGAGACTGCTGCAGGATTATTTGAAGGAGCTGGCACTATCACTTAAAGGGACAGTTCACCCAAAAATGAAAATCCTCTCATCGTTTACTCACCCTCATGTTGTTCCACACCTCTATGATTTTCTTTCTTCTGTGGAACACAAAAGAAGACATTTTGAAAAATGACTTTTTTTGTAAAGTCTCTAGTGTCGTTTAGACACAACATTCTTCAAAACATCTTCTCTTGTGTTCCACATAAGAAAGCCATACGGCTTTGGAACATCAGGTTAAAAAAAAATTATGACAGAATTTTCATTTTTGGCTGAAATATCCCATTCAGGATTACTTTAGTATTATTTATGTATTAAAGTACTCATTAATAGTATTTAATTTATTTATTAGTATTTATTTTGAATTTTTTAATTAAATTTTTGATATTTTCATTTTAATTATTTTGTTTTAGTAATTTTGTTATGTGCTTCTGTCATTTTTATTATTATTTTTTATTTCTGTTCAGCTTTATATTTTATTTCAGTTTTATTTAAATTAACAAAAACTATTTTTAATAGTTTTCATGTTAATTAACAATAGCAACGCTGATCTGTGTTGGGCAGTTTTTTTAGGTTGTTCTTGACCAGACTGAAGTGACCAGAGAGCAGCTGTAGGATCTGCCTTCATGATCAGTATACACTTCAATTTAGAAACGTTAACTTACTAAATGAACAACTTAATTTCAGATTCAAACATGTCTCAAATCTCTCTAGTGTGATTAAATCTGGGTTTTCAGCAAACTATCAATCATTTCTCCACCTGGGATCACTCAGTGATTAATTATTTTAATTTTCAACTTTGATGAATACGTCCTTCTTTGATTTCCCAGTTGAAATGCACAAACAAATGGCATATATTCCATCTAAATTCAGTTTTTACCCAACGGGAATATAACTTTCTACTCAGAGCCAAATCTACTCTATAAATACCATATCTGTGTGACTGCAAGTGTATTTAGCACCAAAACCGGACTGACAACCATATTCTGCTTCTATGTGAACGTAGTTGGTCTGAGTCAAACATTAAATCAATTAATCTTCATTTTGTCAAACTATCTCCATTTTCTTTCACACAGAGAGGTGGTTCGGCTCATAACTGTGGACAGCTGAAGGTGGGTCAGGTGATCCTCGAGGTAAACGGAGTGTCTCTCAGAGGAAAGGAACATCGGGAAGCCGCACGTCTCATCGCAGAGGCCTTTAAAACCAAAGAGAAGGACTACATTGACTTCTTGATCACAGAGTTCAATGTTGCTCTATAAGACCGTACGAGTCCCATGATGCTGACGGAATAAAAGAGCACCGCGACCGCGATGTCTTGCCATGATTAACCCCCAGAATCCTGTTACATGCTAGACTTCAGCTCATCCTCCTCTGTGGTGTTTTGAAACCAGTCACTGTTTGAAAGGCCATCCTGTGTGAGCCAACCCCGCGTTGACCTTTCCGACGGCAAATGCCAGGATAGAGCAAAAGTTCAGTCTGTTCTGTTCTGTCGGTTTGTTTTAGAAGATGGGACCATCTTTTCAGTTCTTTATGAGATTCTATAATGAAATTTGGTCACCTGACCGCAATACGGCAAGAGACTCTTCAGTGAGCTTGGATCTGTGTCGTGTTTTTGATATATGATACCATCATGGAGTCTAGGCCCAGCATCTTGTCCTGGTGTGAGAGTTTGTGTGAACGTGTCATGGAAATCATTGTTGTTGTTTTTTAAAGTCCTAGCTATTTTATAAGAAAGATGTGAAAATGGATCAAATGTGTTTAAAATATATATTTAAAGTTAAAGAGATGCACATAACTACTGATTATAGTAAATAGTGACTAACCCCATAGAGATTCAAACTGAAGTGCTTCTCTCTACAGATTTCTGTGAGCAGAACTGCTGAAACATCTGTCATCTGCCTTTTTTTAACTAGTCAGCCGGTTTAAATTTTTGATTATAGTTTGTGCTGTTTTGCAGTTGTTGTTGTTTTTTTTGCATCATACAGTAATTACTAAACCATGGCAATCAGTCATTAGGACAGAAATCCTGAGAGACATCTGCTCTGTTTCAAATATCTAGTGAGCTGCCTACGTAGACAGTATTTTAAGACAGCATAGGCACTTACAATTTTAAGATACCTTGTTTTGGCCTAATTTTAAGGCAGATGCACATGCATCAGGGCTCAACAATAAGGATTACTCATTGACCCTGATGTTAAGACATATCGTTTAGAAGTTTGGGGTAGATACATTTTTCAAAGAAGTCTCTTACGCTTGCCATAGCTGCATTTATTTGACCAAAAATACAGTAAAAACATAATATTGTGAAAATAATCACAATTTATATACAAATATACTACAATTTCAAATAATTATTTTCTATTTTAATCAATTTTAACATGTAATTTATTCTGTGATGCAAAGCTGAATTATCAGCAGCCATTACTCCAGTCACATGAGTGTCACATGATCCTTCAGAAATCATTCAAGAAACCTTTCATATTATCAGTGTTGAAAACAGTCTTTTATGGAAACCACAATACATTTTTCCAGGGTTCTGAAAAAGGGTTCATGGCTATTATTGCAAAAACTTGATAATATATTTTAATACTTTTAAATGCATGCAAAATATTCAATGTAAACATTATATAAAATATATATAAAATCTAATATATATATATATATATATATATGAAATATATAAAATTATACAGAAATTCATATTTTATATAATATTTTGTGTGTGTTGGGGACTGAAAAAATTGGCAGGGCAGGTAGAAATCCAAACTACTGGCCTAAATCAACATTGACTAAATCAAAATGTTGATTTTTAAAATTCAGTACAGCTAAAAACAGCAGCATGCTAATGCCCAACTGTTGAAATCAATTGCGAGTCGATTCTCCTGTTCACTTACTACATAGAGTGTTCCAAATAATTCACATTTCAGCTGGGGTGCTACCTATATAGGCCATAGACAGCAAGGCAGCTCACTAGATTTTGAGAAGATTCTTTGAGGACACACCGGCATTGTGAAGAATCTCAGAGAAAGAAAAATCATTCTCAGATTTATTTCGATTTAGCGAGAAAATGAGAAGACCCTTTATCCAGTTATGAGTGGTGAAGCAAGAACTTCACATTGCAATCAGAGACGAGCAGCCATCGAAATTAATGAAAAGTTTAGATCTTCAGCGAGGGATCTGATTGAAAAAAAGGCATTCAGACTGGGATAAGGTGGCAACACAAAGCAACAATGTGTCAGTCATGTTACATAAGAGGGAACAAGTGGGAGAGTAAATTGAGAAATGGTGTTATTGTTATGTGTGAGTCTGTCTGTCTTTGAATGCAGAGGCAGAGTGTGAAACAGTCCCACAAAGCCAAGATGTGTGTGTGTGAGAGGCAGAGTAAAAACTACCTGAAGCTTTGAAATATTGACTAGTGCAAGCACAGGACTGCTCATTTCCACCTGCCCACCCTCTCTAATATGACAGCCATCTTAAGCCCACCTAGATCACATATGCCACCATTTTCACTCCTCTACAGTCCCTCACACAGTGTGTTGCCTGTTAGTCTCAGACATTTGAACGTCTCGGTTACGTATGGTAAAGAACTAGATCGAGGCAGAGGCAACGGAACTCCGCCCCTTGAGGAAATGGAGCTTGGCCCGCGACTCCGAGATGATCATCTTCCCGCAACGAGAAGATGACTCATCCACAAACGCCACCTCACCATGCTACATGCCCAGGCACGTGAGGCAGCGATCGTGACCATCACCCAGCGCCAGGTAACGACCGCATCCAGAAACGCCCGGGTGATACGTTGTCTATAGCAAGACCCACATCGTCTTTACAAAGACGTAACGTCAAGTTTGCCACGCAACGTCGTCTCTAAAAAGACGCACCCGAAATTGCTCTTTTAGGGGAACAAGCTCTTTTAGCGTGCTGAGGCGCACAGGGGAGATGATCATCTGCAACACAAACAGGGGGTAGTGCAGTCTGATGTGTGCAACCCACTCGACACGGGAAACCACCACCGCTGAAGCGCCGTACCGCCAACACGAAGAGCTCTCCAAGAGCGCGCTGAACTCGTTCAGTCTTCTTCTCTCAGTAGAGTAGTCAGGAGCAGAACGATGTGATCGCTCGGCTCCGAAGCGAAAAGCTGAATATGCGCTGCATCTGCTGCCTACTTATACTCACGCTGTGATCAGCGGCAGCTGGATGCAATAATCGCATGCCAATGTGCATTGGCTCGTTTAGTTTACACTCGAAGTAGATTGGTCTCTCTAAGTGAGATCCCAATTTCGTCGGTCATCCGACGTGACGTCGAGAGTGACCGACTGAAAGGGAACGTCTCGGTTACGTATGGTAACCCTCGTTCCCTGAAGGAGGGAACGGAGACGTCACGTCCCAATTTCCCAATTTCGTCGGTCATCCGACGTGACGTCGAGTGTGACCAACTGAAAGGGAACAGTTTATATATGGTATATCTATATATTTTAAGTAAATTATTTGTAAAAAGTTGATAATATAATTTTGAATTATTTTCCTTTATATAGCCGAGGTGCTCAGAGGGAAGACAGGCAAGACAGAATGAACAACTTATATAGATGCAAAAAAAAAATGATTTTTCGTACTCAGTGTTTGTCTTGTTTTGTAGTACAAATATCTAAAAATTCTTAAATCCCAGAATGAAAGTTTGCTAATAATTTACTCACCCTCAGGCCATCCAAGATGTAGATGAGTTTGTTTCTTCATCAGAACAGATTTTGAGAACTTGAAAGCATTACATCACTTGCTCACCAGTGGATCCTCTGCAGTGAATGGGTGCCGTCAGAATGAGAGTCCAAACAGCTGATAAACACATCACAATAATCAAAAAGTAATCCACATGACGCCACTCCATGAATTAAGTCTTGTGAAGTGAAAAGCTGTGTGTTTGTAAAAATAATCTTAATACAAAGGGACAAGATTTTTTTCTTAAAATTCTTCTTAAATGTATAAACTTAATTTTAATATTTTTTTAGAAAACAAGACTTGATATCTTTTTGCTTCTCAAGTAAATGTCTTGTTTTAGTACTGTTTAAAGGGGTCATATGATGTTGCTAAAAAGAACATTATTTTGTGTATTTGGTGTAATGAAATGTGTTTATGC